CCGCTCTCAGGCATGGTGGTGGACACACTTAGACCGACTGTTCTGGAAGACTTCAACATTTATGATGAGGGTTTGTTGTCAGGGCCAGCCCAGGAACCTCTTTGGCTGCTATGGTGTAGTGGTTAGGTGTAGCAGTTTGTTGTAGGGGTTAGGAGCATGGACTCTAATCTGGGAGAATCGGGTTTGATTCCCCACTCCTCCACATGCAGACCTTGGGTCAGTCACAAGTTCTTTCAGAGCTGTTCTCTCAAGAGCAGTTCTCTCAGAGTTCTCTCAGACCCACCTACCTCACAGGGTGTCTTTAGTGGGGAGGGGAAGGGAAAGGAGATTGTAGGCTGTTCTGAGACTCCTTTGGGTAGTGAAGGGTGGGTTATAAACCCAATCTCCTTCTCCTCCTCCTCCTCCTCTTCTTCTTCTTCTTTTGTTGTGAGTGAGTGAGTGAGTGATTTGGCTTAGTTTGCTGTGGAGCCATCCTTCCTGAGCTAAGACAAAAATCTGTGAGCTGGAGGCTAAAAAACTATGAGCTAGCTCACACTAACTCAGCTTAGAGGGAACACAGCCCTCCATTCAGATGAAATGCCATTGAGAACTACTCTCTGAGTGTGGTTCTCCAACCAGTTCCCTATCCACCTAACTATCCCACAGTCCACTCCACAGTCCTTTAGTTTACCCCTCGGAACATCATGGGGAACCCTGTCAAAAGCTTTACTATAGTAAACAAACCTTACTGAAATACAGGTAAACAACATCAACAGCATTCCCTCAATCCAGTAGACTCATCACTCGATCAAAGAGAGAAATGAGGTTGGTCTGGCAGGACCTGTTGGGGACAAATCTGTGCTGACTTCCCCAGATGACTAAGTTGTCCTTTAGATGGGACATCCATCTGCACATATGCGCTCTACCTGCAGTTGGATCAAAGGAGTTTTTTTCTTTCCACTGTCCCTGAGGGGAAAGCCCCAGGAGACTCATGAGCACAGCAGAGTGCGGAAGCTCCCGCTTCAACTGGGGCCTTCCTGTTCCCCATGCCGGGGGAAAACCCCAGTGTGGAAACAGCCACTGTTTCTCCTGGCTGCCACATACCATGTCAGTTACTGCAGGTCTCCCTTCCCGCAGCAGTCCATATGCCACTGACCCCTCGCAAGGATTTCTCCTTTGCCAGTGTGTACCCTCCTCCCTCTGCATGAGCAGAGTCCAGATGGTCATTGCCCTTACCGTATACATTGAATCACTTGCACCATGGTTATTAGGACACTGGCAGGGAGCTCATCAGCCACCTCCATATCCCCCTGACTGGTTTTGGACTGAGCTGTGAAGGAGCGGGAAGAGTCCACCTGGGAGAAGGAAGGTAAGTCCCTGCAGTCCAGAAATCTGGGCTGTGTCTTTAAGAAGGAGATAGTGATGGGGAACAAAGATTAAAGCAGCGACGCTGATCTCGAGCATCGTCTCTTCCTGCCCTGCAAGCTGCAGTTCCCTCTGTGGATTTCTAGAGCACAGCTGGGCTGGTTCGGCCCCTGCCCAGTGGAACCAGTGCTTTGGACAAGTGCCATAGCCAGAAACCGTTCTGCCCTGTTGGTTTCTTTCATCCCTGGAACCCAGAGCTTGCTAGCTGTCACTGCACTACCCTGGCCCCACCTTGGCTTGTGTCCCCCTAGTCCTCCAGCAGGGTCACCCACTGACTGCCATCATGCCAGGGCTGCTGTGTCAGGAATCTGCTTGGGATTGCAGCAGCCTTATTTGCCCTACCAAAAAACAAACCTTTTTTCATAGCCTGACCCTTCTCTGCCCTCCAGATACTTGGAGTAGTTGACTCCGAGTCTTCACAGCTCCCCACAGAATCCCAATGGCATGTGGGCCCTACTAAGGGTGTGCAGTCTAGGAGTCTAATACATTCTTTTCCTACTTACAGATGCCTGATAGTGCCAATGATTGTCTGCCACAGGGCATGGGTTAATTTGGATGTGGTAGACTAATGACACAGAGTGCAATCCTAAGCATATGTGCTGAGAAATAAATCCCATTAATTCCAATGCAACTTGCTTCCTAGTAAGTGTGCTTAGAAGATGCCCAGTTAGGGACAGACTTTGAATCAGGAAGTTCTTGGTTTGATTCTTGCTTTTCCTGAGCTCAGCCTCAACCCTCCACTTGCAAAAAGGGGAATAATAAATCCTACCTCGCCATGTTGTTATCATACCCGTTCAGATGTTCCTGCATGGATAGAGAAGAGTGGGAAAACAGGGTTGCCAGGTTTCTCCTGGTCACCAGTGCGGTGGGGTGGGGGGATGGGGTTGCCAGCTCTGGGTTGGGAACCACATTGAGATTTGGGGGTACAGACCTCTAAGTCAGGTACATGCCACAGAGTCCACCCTCCAAAGCAGCCATTTTCTCCAGGGAACATTATGTCTGCAGTCTGGAGATGAGCCATAATTCCAGGGGATCCCCAGGTCCGACCTGGAGACTGGCATCCCTAGTGGGAATGTACCTGCTAGTCCTGCACTGAGCTTTGCGTGTTCAGTAGAATATCTTAATAGGGCTCAGATGTATGTGTGTGTATGTTCTTTCTTCTCACAAAACGAGTAAACCTGCAGAAGTCTTGGAATGTCCATGCGGGATCTGTGTGTTTACATTTGTATGCACGTAGAGTTCTGTTCAGAGTTTGAGATGAGAGGGCAAGGCAAGCGGGTGTGTAACCCTGCTCTATTCTAAGCAGGGCTGATTCCAGGTTGGGGGGGGGCAGGCAGAGAATGTCCAGGGAGGCTCTCCCCTCCTTGGCTACTCAGCAGCCGCCCCAAACCTCTCCTCTTGGCCACCCTTGTCAGTGCATCCTTCTGGTGCCTCTGCTCACACTCACCCACGTGCCCTTTCCTTGACAGCATGGGATGTCATGTGCAGTGGGGACTTCTGCCAGATGACCTCCAGAAGCACTGCCGTGCAGCCCCCCCCCCCAAACACAACGATAGGCAGCGCAGACAGCTTGGAGCATGCGTGGTAACAGAGTGCTTGCAAGCCCATGGGTGGAGGAAGGCTGCATGGATGACTGACAGGGAGATGCATGGGCAGGGGACAAGTGGTTGTGGGCCCTGCTGGAGGAAGCTGACCAGGAGCATGATGATGTCAGTCCTACTTCTACACCCACTCAGTGCATACAGGAAGAAAGGTCTGAACAGAACTAAGATGATAACATAGGTGTATGTGAAATATTTATTCATTTATTCCAGTATGGTGTAGTGGCTAACAGTGGCAGGACTCTAATCTGGAGAACCCGGTTTGATTCCCCACTCCTCCACATGCAGCCAGCTGGGTGACCTTGGGCCAGTCAAAGGTCTCTGAGAGCTGTTCTCTCAAGAGCAGCTCTCTCAGAGTTCACTCAGCCCCACCTACTTCACAGGGTGTCTGTTGTGGGGAAAGGAAGGGAAGGCAATTGTATGCCACTTTGAGACTCCTTCGGGTAGTGAAAAGCGGGGTATAAAATCTACTCTTCTTCTCGTACCTCCTGCAGCAATCATTTTGTAGTTGGCTCCACCCCTGTGGCAGCCATTTTGTGCTTGTGCCCACCACCACCCTGTGTCAGAATTTCAAAAATTCCCGCAGGTTTGAAAAAATTGGGAACCCCTGGACTAGGATTACAGAATTGGGAAACAATGTGAACAATATGCTACCTAAGGCAAACTATAGTACGAACAATATAGAAAATGGGTTACAAGGTGTAAAACAATGCAGTAAAAGCATGTGATACCTACAATAATCATTTTCGTGCCAACAACAATCCTATTCCATTATAAAGGTGCCATTCAGGACTGTTCATTCTATTATAGCTTTAGAAGTGTGGGAGCCTTCCTGACCTCCTTTGGCAGGCTGTTCCTCAACGCAGAGGCCACCACTGGGAATGCATGTGAACAGGCAGCTGCTGACCTCCTCTGGGAATGCTGGGTCCATTTTAACTCCTCGGCTCATCACTGAGTCAGCTAGTATCATCTGGACTCCATCACTGGTGGGGAGCACAATGTCCCCCAGGACTTCAGCTATCCCAACCAGCATTACCTCTGTCTTCTCAGGATTCAGTTTCAGCTTGTTCACTCTGAACCCAGTTAACCGTAGCTGTAAGGCACTGCTTCAGGATATCTCCAGCATCTAGACAACTGAATATACAGCTGGGTGTCGTCAACATACTGATGACTGCTGACTCCAGATCCAGGAATGATTTCTCCTAAGGGCTTTACATAGATATTGAACAGGTAGAAAGATAAGATGGATCTCTAAGGAACCCATGACACAGGTCTCACTCGGATGACAGTTGGTCTCCAGCGGCTACCTCCTGAGAGCTGCCCACAAGGTGCAATATAAACCATTCCAAGGCAGAACCCTTAACAAGATGGCATGGTCCACAGTGTCAAACACTGCTAACAGAACCAGTAAGATGAACAGAGAGGCATGGCCCGGGTCCACATTCAAGTGGAGATCATTGTCCCAATAATCCAGCGTGAAACAAGACTGAAAGGGGTCTAGAGCATACTGTTGTTGTTTTGTTGTTATTGTTATTGTTAATAACAATAATAATAATAATATGAACATGAATCATCATGCAAAACCCAGAATTGTTCTGCTACTGGTCTTTCTATGAATTACACTGCAATCCTCAGCAGAGTTACACCCTTAGAAGTCAATGAGCTTAGAACGCTCTTAACTGTGCTTAGAATTGCACTATTAAGAACATAATACTCGTGCTGGAGCAGACCAAAGGTGCATTGATTCTGGAAGGCCTACGTGCAAGGATAACCAGCCAAAGCTTTCCCCAGTTGTTGTACCCCAGCACTGGTATTCAAAGGCCTCTGAACATGGAATTCCATTCATCCATCATCCATTCATAAAGATGCTTTCTGAGCAGGAAAAATAAAAAAAAACCCAGTCAGAAACATGGGAGCAGCATTCTGGTAAAAAGGTAAGCATCCCCTCTTGTACTTCACATAACTTCCTCTGGGACTTTTTCCTTCCTTCCAGCTTCCAGCTGCTGAAATGTCCAGTCTCCGTCTTCCATTCTTGTGGCTCTTTCTCCTTTTCCCGCTGGCCTCCAACTCTGCCTCTGAAGGAGATGACACCATCGTGGTCACCAGCAGTGGCCCGATCAAAGGCAGGCGTCTCCAGGTTGGCTCTGGCTCCGTGACTGCTTATCTGGGTATCCCCTACGCAGAACCGCCTGTGGGGAAATTGCGCTTCCAGAAGCCCCTTCCTCATCAGCCCTGGAGTCAAGTCTTGGAGGCTACCAGCTTTGGCAACTCCTGCTCCCAGTTCCTTTTTCCTGACTCCCCCCAATCTTCAATGTGGACTGTCTGGCCACCACTGTCAGAGAACTGTCTCTTTCTGAATATCTGGGCGCCCCATCCAAGGCCTCCTACCCCAGTGCCTGTCCTTGTCTGGATACACGGTGGGGGATATATCACTGGCACGTCTTCTCTGGAGATGTATAATGGGGCATCCTTAGCTGCTGAGGAGGATCTCGTAGTGGTCTCCTTGAATTACCGCTTGGGGGCTCTGGGCTTCCTTTCACTACCACCAAGTGCCCCAGGTAACGCTGGCCTCTGGGACCAACAGCTGGCCCTGAAATGGGTGAAGGAGAATGCAGCTTCCTTTGGAGGAGATCCCACACGGGTGACCATTTTCGGACATAGTGCTGGAGGAGCCTTGGTGGGTTTCCATCTCCTCTCCCCAGAAAGCCAGCCCCTCTTTGCCCGGGCTGTGATGCAAAGTGGAACTATGAATGCTGTCTGGGCTTGGACAAGTCCTGAGGAGGCCAAACAGAAAGCCCTTGATCTGGCCCAAAAGCTGGGCTGTATTCAAGATGATGGCGCTGATGTGGTGACATGCCTGCAGGGAAAGGATGTAGGGGGTTTCACTCAGTATGAGTTATCCGCATTGAATAACACAATGCTTCTGTACTTTCCCTTCACGCCCACCACTGATGGAGAATTCCTTCCCAAGGACCTGCAGACACTTCT